TTTCTTTGACCTGTTTCCATTTTATTGTCACCGTTAAAAAAAATGTTGTAATGAGGGTCACAGTCCAGCTAATAACAACAAAGTTTAAGTTGCTAGAAAATGCCTGAGAACTGCGGTGTGCAGTAGTGAAGCCTTAACTTTGAAGAGCAGAACAGGCCTTAGCAATAATTTGGTAAGTGTTGGTGCCACCTTGTGGTTGAATGAAATATTGTAACAAAACAGCGCCACGTGAATTTAGAGTTTTTTGAATCAACAAACTAAATCTTGTTTTTCTTGTTTAGTATGTTGACTCAAGGTTAACCACAAGTTAGTGACTTAGATTTCCTGGGAATTTTATTGTAATCAGATGATTTGAGTTCACCGGAAAGTCTGTTTAAAAAAAAAAAGAACCTCCAAAACATGTAAAACTTCCTCATCTATGAAATATAAGGTAGTTTTTCCCAAAGGAGGAATCAGGGATTCTTAGTCCTGAAAAATACACTTGAAAAAGTAGGCTCTCATAAAGAAGGCTGAAATAATTCCATTTGCAGCAACATGAGTGAACTTAGAGATTGTCATATTTTAAGTCAAATAAGTCAGACAGAGAAAGGCAAATATATGATATCACTTATATGTGGAATTTTTAAAAAATGATATAAACCAGAAATAAACTCATGAACATAGAAAACAAATTATGATTACCAAAAGGGAAATGGTGGGGGAGGGATAAATTAGGAGTTTCGGATTAACAGATACACATTATTATATATAAAGTAGATAAACAAGGACCTACTGTATAGCACAGGGAGCTATATTCAATTTCCTGTAACAACATATAACAGAAAAAATCAGAAAAGATAAAATATATGTATGTGTAACTGAATCACTTTGCTGTACACCTGAAACTAACATTGTAAACCAACTACATTTCAATAAAAAATAGAAGTTTTAAAAAGTAAGCTCTATGGTCAAAGGAGCCTAGTAAATGTCACCCCTAGTGGCATTACCCCTAGTAAATGTCGTATCCCTCTGGAAAGTCACAGGGCACATTCTCTTATTTAAAAGTTACAGGAAATTAATCCATTTAATTTTGTTTTAAATGAGCATTTTCCAAATATTCCTGACCACAGAATTCCTTTTTAAAAAACAAATATTACCTATTAACATCACCAGCTAATAAATCTGGGAAAACACTTTCAAATACAGAAGGTGACAGCATTCAATACAAATATTTTACTGAACCTAAATTTGAAAAAACGATGTCTCCCGTTCTCCATGTAGGAATCATGGCCTGAAGGTCTTGAACTAGTGAGGACTCTAAGTCACTAAAAGTCCCCTAAGCTACAGTTAATGTAACTAGTTAAAAAAAAAAAAAAAAGACCTAGCAGATCACCCAGCAGTATTCTAGGAACCGACTGAACCTGTCTCCAAGGGGATTTTGATAGTTAACGTACACAGCGGTTGAGGAAAATGTTTCTGAAAATGGGCAAGAAACAGACTGCTTCTCAGAAAGGTTTACTTCTGAGTACATGGGCTTCTGTGCTGAACCGGAACTTATGTCCTTTGTTCACATAATAGTTACATTACATCATGTGAGATGCTAGTATCAATAACTGTTCAGAAACATAAGACTGAGGTTCTTGAAACCACTTTTCTTGTAAAAAGGCTTATTCATAATTTTTGTGGAGCAAAGAGATAGAAGCTCAGTATACCTTGCAGTGGGTGAATGGTGTGTGATGATAACCAGGAAAAGCATTAACTGGACTAGTGTCCAGATTTGTGTTTTAGTCTGCCCTGAAGCCGACTTCACCTTTCCTGGTTTTCTCATCTGAAAAATAGAGGTAATAGTTAAACTCACAGAGGTCTTAGGGTGATGAAAACAAATAATAAATGTGAGAGTTTTATAGACCAGAATGTTACTTATCAGTATTGGTATTATGTACAGTATCTAGATGATGAATGAACATCTTTATATAGTAATTCTATGATGCTGTTTTAGAGTTAAAGGAGGAAAATAGGGATGTCCAGGTTTCTTAAAAAGCTGAGTCAAAGAAACCCTGGACTTGGTATCTAAAGCCTAAACGTGCTTTTCATCCTGTTACTTACTGGCTTATGTGACTTGGTGCAAGTCACACTGAATCTCAGATTGTTTCCCATAGTATGGGAATGATAATAATGGGGAAACTATGGGTTGATAATGTATGCTTGTAGCAACTTTGCAGAGTCATTATGGGGATGGGGATGTATGTAATAGTACTCTGTACGCTGTCAATGCTAGAGTCATTCATCTCCTCATCTATTGAACATATACTGAGAGTGCCTGCTCTGCCCCAGACGCCGTGCCATCTGCTGGGGCAGAGTCCTGCCGTCACCGGGGTTACAGCCAATGGGAAAATTCATACAGTCAACAGGTAGACATACAAATTAACCCCTCAGTAGCATAATGATTAGTACCATTAAGCAAAAGAGCACATGCCCAGAGCAAATAACAAAGAGACCTATTCAGATTGGGATGTTGAAGAGGGCATCCCTGAGCAAATTATGTACTAAGACCTCAGAGATAATAATAAGCGTCAGCCAGGCAAACGGGGAAGAGAATGAGAAGGAAGGGCTTTTCAAGCAGAGAAGCTAGCTGGAATATGTAAAGACTGGAAGCAGAAAAGAACTTCTAGGAACAGGACAGCTGGAACAGAGCAAGGGGCCAAAAATGAAGTTGGAGAAATGACAAGTTCTGTATACCACATTAAAGATTCTCGGTTTTATCGTAGGTGGAGTTGAAAGGTGTTGATATGTGTTAAGTAAAGAAGGGGGAAGGTTACATTTGCATTTTTAAAAAGTCAGTCTGGCTGCCGTATAGAGAATGAATGGAAGAGTACGCAGATGTGGGGAGCCCAGTTAGGAAGCTATGACTACGGTAGCACAGCAAAGAAGTCGTGGTAGGTTAACTGGAGTGGAGACAGAGAAGATAGATCCATGGCGTGTTTTGGAGGAGAATTCATCAGACTTGGTGGTGTCCTGGATTCAAAGCATGGAGAAGGAGGTATGGAGGGTAATTTCTAGGTGTCTTTCTTGAGGAACTGCCAAATAATGAAGACTTGAACCGACTTGACAAAACCTGAGGGAGGAGTGGGCTTAGCTGGAGAGAGGATCGAGGCTTATGGTAGCGTTAACGGGATGTCTATTAGGTATCCATGTGGAGGTGACAAAAATCAACAGGAATAGAGGTCTACTGCCCACAACATTAGATACGAAGTCATTCAGTTATTCACCAGATGTTTATTGAGGAGCAAAAATATGTCTGAATTGGTCCTAAATGCTGGAGGTCTAAAAAACAGTGGCATGGCTCTGCTCTTACAGCTGATTATATTTTAGCAGGTGGTAGCAGTTGCATAGATGATTTTCAAAATCAAAGACAGTTGCTTGACCTAGGGCGTGCCTGAGAAAATTCAAATGGGTACATGGATGTTAATATCCCTGAAGTTATGTGCTGTAACACTTCTAATCCCCTGGGTGTCCAGCCCATAGCTGGGAATCACTGTTTAAAAAATAGCCATTTTAACTCATAAACATTTTGGTTGCACTGACTCCCTTAAAGAATCCATTATAACAAGTTACCAGGTAATAGCCTGCATTGACATTTGTAAGTATTTTTTAAAGCTTGTCTTCTTGTGATGAAATCAAGCTGAAGTGGGAGTTTCACAGCAGGAAATTGGAATCGTTACTTTATTAGAACCAGGTCTATGCATATGAAAATAAGGTCTTATATTTATTAGGAGAATGTAGAGAGTTTTGAGAGAGTCTCCAAATGATTAAATAAGAAAAGTCAAATCCTATCAGGCAGTCTTTATATTTAGCACAGATATTTGTGTGTCATGGAGGTAATTGGAGTATAGAGGAGAAATATAGTGAGTTTAAGTATATCAGCCTCATAATAATATTTATATGGTGCTTTACCATTTTCTGAGCCCCACTCATATTTTTGTTTAAATCATGTAGACCATGCTTAACTATAGTTTCAGATTGGACAAAACAGAAAGAATTAAATAAAATTTTATTTTAAGGGAGTCAGGCCTTGTATAAAGAATTACTTCCTGAGGCTGAAGATTGTCACACACTGGAATGATTTACCTGGGGATGTCCCTGATTCACCTTCCCAAGGAATCCTTAATGACAGCGTAGACTCATTAGATCAAGATTGGTCTCATTCATCAGTCAGAATGAGAAATGGTACAATATATATTGAAAGTATGGAAAGGCCCTTCCCTCTTGCAGTTGTAGTTAAAAAAAAAAAAAAGCATGAGTATTATAGTTAAACAGCCTTGGTTGGAATCCAAACACCATCTCTTGCTAGCCGTGTTCCCATGAGCAACTTATTTGACGTCTCTTACAGCCTTTATCATCATAGGGAACGTAGGAGGTATTAAGGGATAATATGAAGTATCCAGATTATTTAATAAACGTTTGTCCCCTTCCCCCAATGCCTTCCTCTGAGACTTCCATCCTCCCCTAACATTCTAAAATTGAAATTTCTGAACAAGAGAGAATATGGGACCAAGGATGAAATTGAAGCCCAATTTGAGACTCACCTTTCCCTAAATCCATTAAACCCATTAGATTAGTATAAATCTTTAGCAGCATATATAAGTCTAAAACTAGTTAACTCAGCTGAAATCATGGATCATCCTTTTTATAGCTGACCAGATGAAATGTCAAATTTATCACTATTGTTTACAACATAAGTTAAATTTACATACTCAGCATGAAGTAGAGTTTGTAAACATCAGAACAGAGTTACAGTATTAAAATCAGAAGATATAATAATAATGACAATAATAATATTATTATTTACTGTCACTTCAATACTTAAGGGAAAATTTAGGAAAAAGCACTTAATCTTTATTTTCCCATGTGATAAGCTTTATTTAAATTTTATTCTTTAAAGTACTTCACATTTAGATGAGCTGTTTTCTTGCTTCCATTGAAAGACGTGATTAACATGGATCGATCTGAATCTCTAACAGGAACAAGTGATCCATACGTGAAGTTTAAAGTTGGAAGAAAAGAAGTTTTTAGAAGTAAAATAATACACAAGAACCTAAATCCTGTGTGGGAGGAGAAAGCCTGCATTCTGGTCGATCATCTTAGGGAGCCATTGTATATAAAGGTGAGCCATTTACTTGTCTTTCCCTAATGTAATCTGATATAGAAATCCTGTTTAGTGGTATTATATTATGTCTCTCTATCTGATGAGATTGTTCATCAGAGATCAGTTCTGCTACGGACAGCTGTCATCTGCTGGTGATGTGAGAGGAATGGGCTCCAGGTGAGGGAGAGCTGGTGGGAGCATTTTCCTTCGGGCCAGTTCTATCACCTGTCATTTAGGAAGATTATGAATTCCATCTCCTCCTGCTTATTAGGTCAGTTAACTAATTTTGCACGTTGGGAACATATAAAAACGAAAACAAGTCTCCACATAGAAAACAAACTGGTTACCAGAGGGGAAGGGGGTGGGATAGATTAGGAGTTTGGAGTTAACAGATACACATTTCTGTGTATAAAATAGATAAACAACAAGAATCTACTGTATAGCACAGGGAACCATATTCAGTTTATTGTAATGAGCTGCAATGGAAAAGAATCTGAAAAATATATATGTATGTATGTATATATATATAACTGAATTGCTTTGCTGTAGGCCTGAAACTAACGTTGTAAATCAACTACACTTCAATAGAAAATAAGGGAAAAAAAAATCCGTGTAATCTAGCAAGATGAAACACTTAAACAGAACACAGCCTTTGTGTTTTCAGATTTTACCAGGGGGTCTGCCATTCCTCTTTGCAAGCAAAATGCTTTACTGGGAAGGTGAGGAGGAAAGATACCAGAGGGAAAAAAATACCTGCCTCTATTATGTTACCAAAGATGGAAAAAAAAGAGGAGTGTTTCTTCTTAGTTCATGTAGTTTTTGTTTTTTTTTTTAAAGAAAAAGAGGAAGAAGAACTTATGGAAGGAGTTAACCTTAATTCCTTGTTTTGCTTTCAAACTTGACTTCCATTTAATTCGTACCTCTAGATACCTATTTTCTTTTTGGCTCCTGTGTTCTGACTATCCATTCAGTGACCAAACCTTTTTCTCCTTTTACCACATCACATGCCCTGCCTTTTCTCTAAGTTGTCACAACTGGCATATGAGCCCCAAATCTCACATGATCACTCTTTAAGCAACCTCTGGGCATCCTCCTTCCCCTCAGATCTTCATTTGTGTTGCTTCTAGTTGTTTTCTCCATAGAAAGGAAAATATAATCAAGATATTATTAAAATCATAGCAGGGCAGTTTATAAAATCAATGAAAAGAGAATCTCCTAAGCATTTAGTGGATAAGTTTCTAGAGGTCATATGGAGAATAGAGACCTGTATTTGCATTAAGTTATTTCAAATGGACATTGGCTAAAGGAAATCAGTTAACTAGAATTAGTGGACTATCTTACAATGCACAATGTGTGCCGACCCAGAATTACGGGTGTGAGAGATCCACAGCCAACCCTTCCCCCACCAAAGGGAAGACCTCGGTGTCAGAGATGTTTCTCCCCTGCTCCTCACCTCTAGAGAGAAAGAAATATCTACATGAGAAAAAAGGAAGCATCTACATAATAAAGAACTGAGATAAGGAATAAAAAAGAAATTTAAAAAAAACAAGTTGGATGAAAGTTTTACTTCTACAGAGGTTTAGATGTGAGTTAGAGCAGCTAAGTGTCCAGGAATGGCTTGGAAAGGAATGTTGGGATCTCATTTCATGTCCCTTAAGAGAAAAATTACGGAAGAAGAGAGTTTCTTTTTAATTGCTTTTGCTGTGGATCTGTTTCTTTAACGAGGTAGTAGTCTGTGACAGAACCATGTGGATCTCCAGTCTTTAAAAGGGTTACAAATGAACATCCCAATATTACACAGATACATTAGATCATGGTTGTGTCCTTCTACCGTTCTCTCATTTTCAAGCTTGAGAATTCATCTCTGTAGAAATCCAGATATTGAATGTGTATTTCAAAAGGAGTATCATAATAGGCTCAAAAGCAAACAAAACTCTGAAGTACAGAGAAAACAAGTGGTGACAAAAAATTTTTGCTTGGCTTTGAGAGAGCAACGGTATATACACATATATACTGAAAATGGAGACAGTGACCCTGGTTAGTGACATTCTGGGAGCAAAGAAGCTTGGAGAGAAAACTCAAGTGTTGTTTTGTTTTTGTTTTTGTTTTTTACCACTATGAGTTTCTAGAGTACAACATTGTATGGCCACAACTTAATATAGAAGATATGTAGTGAATTGTAAAAGATTTGATGCTTTTTTTTTTCCATTTCTACATAAGAAAAAATAAGTTTAACAGAAATCACACTGGCCTCTCAAACAGTGGTTCAATCAGAAAGTAACAGTATTTCTGTGTGATAATTTATACTTTTTAATATACATTGATATTTGTCATTTGATTTTCATTTTCTGTACAATGCATAGAGTTGGGTTTTTTTTGAAAAAAAGTGTCTGATGTTCAGCTTTGCTTTCCCCATGTTTTGTGTTATCCACTTTTGCCTAACCTTGGAATGCGCAGAAATCTAAATCAAATACATTGGTGGAAATGACATTTTAACTAGAATTTCATGCATTATTTTTATTGCCTCTACACAACCCTGTGTGATTGACTTCTATATGGTGCCCACATTATCTGTGATGAGAGATTAATTTTGCTTGAAAAATTTATTAGGGACCAACAGATTCTGTAGTGACAGGTAATATGAAAATGCATCCATGAACTCGATGGTTAGAAAATATTGTCTTCGACTCTCCTAGCTGTAGTTAAGGGAAAAAGAAGTCCATGGGCACACTGTAATCTGATTTCTATCACTGTGAAGATTACCAAGGGAAACAAAATTCAGTTCTAAACTAAGGTTATAAAATCACACTAAAGTTACAGTACTTGTACCATTTCTAGTAAAAACAAAATTTTTAAAAAATCTTGGAACTGTCATTTTAAAATCCTATGGACAAAATAAATAAATACATTTTCCAGTTGGTTGGAATTCATATAGTTTTTAATTTTAATAAAAAAGAGAATATTCCTTCAATACTGAATGACTTCACAGTAAGGGCAGGTGAAAACAAGGCTGTAGGAATGGGCTTGAAAAATACTTGTCATAGAGTAGCAGTCGAATCTGGGAGTTAAAATGCAGTGCTTTTAATTGAGACAAGAGCCACTGGAGCCTGCTCTGTATCCACAGGGATGCTCCAACATGCATCTAAATAATGGGATAAATACAGCATCCATTTCAGTTGAATTAAATTCAGATTCTCCAGTGTAATTTCATTGCCACTATCATTCCAGGTACACAGGTACAAATCTGGAGATTTGCATATTAAGTTGGAGTGCTCTAATAAATAATGGAAAGATTTAGGTAACTAGGAAAATTATTCTGTTTGGAGCCATAGTACTGTTTCTAAGATTGTCACTTTAACAAAACTGACAGTTTCTTAAATAACTCATATCTATCCAAGCTTAAGATTTAAAATTGTGAAGGTGCTTTTAGTGTAGGTCAAGCTAAGGACCATGTTATTGCCCTGTCCAAAATTATTTCTCAGTAGGTTTTAAGGGCCCTAAAAGAATGTCATAGACCAATGACCCTCAGCCTTGGGTACATTAGAATTATCCATGAAGTTTTAAAGAATCTAGATATACAAGTGTCTCCTCCAAGAATTCTGATTCAGAATTTCTTAGTTGGAGTCCAGGCTTCTATATTTTTAAAACACATGAGGTTATTCTCATGCACTGCTTGGGTAGGGAGACATTTTTCCAGACACTTAAATGCAAACAACTGAATAGTTGGAATGGAAATATTTTTGCCACATAAACCACAGAGCACCCAAACAAAATTATTGCAAAGTTAGAAGATGTTTGTATTATCTTACATGTTTTGTCTTGTATGGTTCAAAAATATTTCCTAAATGCATAAATCGAGGATCTCAACTGTTTTAGACAAGAAAACAAAAAGGGAAGTAAAGCAAAGAAACAAAAAAGCCTGGCTGAACTTGCTTTTTGTTTATGGACAAAGACCATGTGATGTTATTGAGTCTTGGGAAGTTGGAATTTGCAGTCATAGCTTCATCATCATAATAGCTACCATTTATTGAGCACTGAGCTAAGTGCCAGATCTGCATTATCTCATGTAATCTTTACAGTAACCCTACACCTAACTGCTCTCATCTCCATTTTGCAGGTGAATGGGGCGCAGAGAGGTTATGAGTTTGCTAAAGTCCACCCAGCAATTAAGCAACCCAGTTTCTATTTTCAATTAAGGGTGACTAATTGCAATGGCCACAGTTAGGCTTTGTTTTATTTTGTTTGTTTTATAGTATCAATTCCATGACTTAAAGTTTAATTACTCTTTTATGGTGAAATGGTTATTTTGAAGCTGTCTGGATACGAAAATGAATCACGGACATACTTGCTGAGTAGAATCTTGTATCTTGGGTCGTATTATATAATCTGGTTACCTCTCCACTTCCCATTCCCATTATGCTTCCTTGTTTAACTCACATGCCACCCTCTCTCATTGTCCTCCTGAGCATCTTATATAAAACAACTGTCCCCATCTCTCCCATACCCTGAGATATATTTCTCTAATGGCACTTACCACTACCTAACATACTTTTTTGTTTATGGTCTGCATCCCCCAATACGTGAGCCCCAACAAATCAAAGACTTATTTTGTTTATTGCTGTATTTCCAGAGCCTTGAATGGTATTTGGTACATTGCAGGTGCTCATCAATGTTTTTGGAGTAAATGGATGAAAAAGTACCTGAATCATTTGAACTGCTAGATAAAAACTCCCCTGAAGTCATAATTTCCTATGAGCATTTCATTCATTTGAGCCAACAGATTCCCATTCATGTTGAAGCCAGTATGAGTTGAGTTTTCTGTTACTTGCACCCAAAAGCATTTAAACTGATGCATTCCCTCATGCAGTTTTCTTGATAAACAATTGAATCAAGATACTCAATAAACTCGATTAGAATAAAACATTTGTGTTCTAAACTCACTTGAGAATGAAGAGATGTGTTACCGAGTCCCAAGCAACTTCTATCTAATATTAACCTCATGTTTCCAACTCATGGAGCAGACGGTCTGTGAAAGCCAGGATCTCTTCTGAATTGTTCACATTTGAATTCCCAGTGCTTTTTCCCAGAATGGGCGCCCAAGTTATACTTGTTCAGTTTAAATATGCTCAGTATGTTCGACTTAAATATGTGTCCGAAATCCATTACAAGATTTGAATCTGACCTCTTTGTAGCCCTGGGATTTAGGAGCAAGTTACATAAACATTTTAAGCATTGGATTCCTTATCCAAAAAATAGAAACAATACTTTGTTCACTGAGTTGTGTAAGAATGAAATTTTAAAATCTAGACAATGTGTTTAACCCAGCGCCTAACATAGCGTAAATGATGAGTAAACATTAATCAGCATTACCTGTGCTCTATAGTGTAGTGAGAGTACCTTTTCCTATTTGATCTCTCTTCTCTGCTCCATGTTTCTGGTGCTCCACCTAGGGCAGTGCTCCCTCTGACAAATAGTTTATAGAGCTTGAAACCAAATTGCATAGCTAATAATTTAATTAAAGAGTGGATTCTGATGTTTCCATTCTTTTTCATTTTTATGCCCTGCCTGATAAATAGGAATTGAAAACCAAAATAAACACCTAGCATTAGCATGGTAGGAAAGACTCTCGCCATGAAAATACAGAGTTTGAATGTTGACTCACCAGTTGGGCTATCTACTACTCATTTCACTGGATTCGCAGCTCTCCACTTCCTAGATGTGGGTGTACCTCAGGTATTCTCTGGATTATATGTCACTCTAGTCTCCCCAAGATTTCAGGTCTTCAGCTGATACAATTAGAAGAGATTACACAAGAAAAATTTCTCTAATTTTGGTGTAAATTTTACATTGTGAAGTACCTTGCTGCAGCCATTTGCAAAAACTGAGCTGTCAGTCAGTTGCATACGATGTGCACTATATCCATGTGCTGTGTCACTGAGCCGATGACTAAAGCTCAGAAGTGTAAGTGATCAAGGAGAATATTTATTGCAGGACTGCTGTGCTTTCTACAACAAATGTACTCCTGAAAGGTTGTCTGTAAATCAAATGACTAAAAATGGAGTACTTTAAAAGGCATTAGAGGAGTTGATAACTTAAATCAATCCCTTAGGACTCTTCAAATTTAAGAATCCTTATGTAATGCAAAGTATTTATATTTTTTTGTTTAAATATCAATTTTTTAATATATTAAGTTTGTTTAAATTGAAGTACACCCGTACTAGAGAAAAGAAAAAAGAAAAAACAGTAACTGATGTGAGGCTTCTGTACATATTATTCCCTCTACTCAGAGCTTTCTGACTTGTGCCAGGAATTGGGCTGAGCTATGGGTTCTCTCAGCCAAATGGATTCGCACAGCCTGGAGAGTCCATTGGTCTGGGTCCTCCATTCAAGAGAGACTTGGCTGTTTATGCTCATATATTCCAGTGTGCAGTGCAAAGATTTTCTGTTTGGAAAGGTCTAGAACATAGTTCTAAACTTCATCTAGTAGCATTTATTTCCATCTTAAGAGCTTTCCTGATCTCCAATGTAATTTTTTTCTTTCCAGCCCCTGTTCTTTTCTCTACAACACAACACTTACCAAAATTTATAATTATATCACCTGTGTACTTCCTTGTTTAACATCTGTTTAACTCAATGTGTAACACATTGTCTGGCACATAATAAGTATTTAATCAATATTGGCTTAGGGGATAAATGAGTAAGAAAATGTTTAAATGGGTGGAAATTAGCCAACTTCCAATTAGGTCGAGTTCTCTGGAAATGGCGCCATCTGACCTAGCTCCGAGCTCTCCAGCCTCCTTCTACTCTCCATCTTTCTCGGTTTGCTGCAGCCACGCTGGCTGCTGGCTGATCCTTGAACATGGTAGTCATATGCTGTTTCCTCCACCTGAGCCCTCTTCCCATTCTAGTGGCTCAGTCCTTCTCGTCAATGCAGATTATACACAAACACACTTCCTCCCAGAGGCCTCCCTGGACTCTCAATATAAAATATCAGCTCCCTTGGACTTTAGTCTCCATAGTGCTCCTCACTGAACAGTAGATATCTATTTGGATTTTTATGGACTGTTTCAGCCAGTAAACGTAGGGTCCAAAAGGTCAAGGACATCGCCTGTCTTAGTCCTCATAGTATGAATGAGAACCATGGAGAGTACAAAGAAGAGAAATTTCGTTTGACAGAGGAAAGAAATATGTTCTCTCTCTTTTTCTTTCCGTGTTGTTGTTGTTAGTCACATTCAGATTATCCCCTAACCATTGCTTGTGACAATAAAAACTTAATTTGGCCTTAGTATAACTTTATAAAGTGCTTTAATCATAATATTCTTAAAATTTGCTTATTTGTATGTTTAAAATGGCATTGTCCTATAATATCAGAATATATCTTCAATGACCTGAAAAGTATGAAGAAATTGGAATCATATCTTCATCACCTGTAGCTCAGAATGAAGGACACATTTGTTGGATTTTCTACCAATTCACTTTGCCTTCTAATAATGCTAATAGCCTTTCTGTAATGAGGGGGAAATATTTTAAGACTGTGGTTCCCACATTTTTGATGATTTACTGTATTTTGTTTGATTTTGATATTCATCTTCTTTAAAGTTCTATTTTATAGAAATCAGTCATTTTAATTACAAAATTAAATGTAATTTCCTTTGAATGTTTGGTAAGTCTGTAGTATTTCAAAAGACAAATTTTTTAAATTAAAAATAAAATTTTAAAAATAAGAAATTTTATTGATGACAGAGACAGCCAGTGTTTTATAATGAAGACGCTGTCATTTAAAGCTTATATTGGCATTATTTATGATAATGTCTCATTTCTTTGGCTCCTTAGGTATTTGACTATGATTTTGGACTACAGGATGACTTTATGGGCTCAGCCTTTCTGGATCTCACACAACTGGAGTTGAACAGGTAACTTTTGAACTGTTGTAATACCACTACCTGTTGTTATGAAGTTGGTCCTGTGTCACAGAAAATGTTGACAAATCTGGATTCTAATCGCTGTTATGTCATTTATGGTTGTGATAGCCAAACATCCCTCAAGTATATCTTTCTCATTTACCCACTGGAAATAAGAGCATCTTCTCTCGCTATTTCCTTCAACAACAACTATTCAACAGAAAAATTCTTAAGACACCTGCTCTATCCCCCAGACTATGCTGAGCACCAGGAATCTAGACTGAAGATGCATTCCTTGCTTTTGGATTGCTGGTGTGGTTGTAGAGAGGCATAAAGAAGATTGCACATGTTAATTAATCATCATTAGTGATTTAAGAATGAGGCCACCATATCGGAAATAAAACATGTACACTTTGCTTCAAATAGAGCAACACTCTTACCACTTGAGCCAAAGTAGAATCTAACTGAGATCATCAGTCATCCTGGGTTACCAGAGTGGCCTGAAAGTGGAGGCAAATACAGTGGAGGTTGTATTTACTCTGTTACCTTAGCTTATCATTGCTTGACTAGGTGTAAAGTAATGATTAGTTATAAATAAATTAGTATTACTAATATTAACCATTCCTTGCACCTAATTATGGGCTTATATTTTTAAATGTATTTCAACATAGAAGCTAAGAATTGATTAATACTATAAGAAGAAACAAATTGTCTCTAACATGTCAAGCAGGGCTGGAATGGGTTGCATAGGTAGCTGTGAAATGTTCTTTCGTGGTTTTGAAGAGATGCTTTAGATGATCATGTCATATCCTGTGGCAGGAAGAGTGGAAAGCAGGGCAGCAGAGTAAAGGGCCAGATCACTCCCTTCGATTTTAAGTGTAGATGGAATATAAATAGTGGAACCCGTATGTGTTACAGTCTGAGCTCAGAGATTGGTCTTCCAACAGCCATTTATGCCTCAAACTGGACAAAAGAGCGGCCTTTTCTGTACTTCCTGTGTGTCCTTCATTCCAACCCAGAGTCTAGCGCCAGCCTGACCTCGGGGTGATTGCTGGCTCCCCGCCTCACCTTGGCTGTAGGAAGCCCTGGATGGTGTTGTGTGTAGTCCATCATGAGAACTGTGCTCCAGCTGGAGTCAACTCTGCCATCCTTCTGTGAAGACCACAGTTATTTTCTCTGCAGGCTCTGCATGAGGCTATGCAAATTGCTAGACTGAATCACAGAGTCCCAATTTCTCTTTTTCTATTAAAGATATTAAAA